TCACGATGTCTAAGGTAGTTATACACTTGTCGACGAGTAGCGTTGTCCACAAGATTTTTCTCTTGAATCGCAGCCAGAATTGCTGCCGGTTTTGCCTGAGTAGCAGTCATATCACGGACAATCTATTTGGATGAATCGCTGAGTTCGCTCATCTGCCAATGACCCTCGAGATGCACAACCAACACATGATTATACGTTCTCTTCTCGTCATCTAAAGGAACCGAGATACACCTGTTGTTACATGGGAATTAACAACAACCAAATTAAGATGTATTTTAAGTAAATCTGAACGTTTAACGATGAAAAGCCTGTATATTGTTTCTGGAAATGTAATTTGTATTAGTGTGGTATTCTTGTGTGTTTGGGAAATTTTCTATTTCCCTTTTATATTTACATACCATGATTATCTGTACAATAATCATTACATTTGAAAGGTCAAAGGCGGTCTTTGATGGCTTCTCTTGTTAGCTTGCCACTTGGATAAGCGCAATGATGAATCATGCTGAGTTGTCACCGCCTTACCATGCTGAGCTGGCATGTTATAGATATCGGCCCACCTAGTTATAACCGATACGTCGTGGCTGACATGTAGTAACCGACATGTGTTGACCGACATGTGTTGACCGACATGTGTTGACCGACATGTGATATCGGTCAACTTAGTGAGGATGTCGGTTTCTGTTGAATCTCTCATTGCGTGATCATCTTGAAGCTGGTGGAAGTGTCTCGTGCTTGTATGAGCTCTAATCATCATCATATTGGTCTCGATCAACGAATTAGTGTCGCTTAACCCGACTTATAGAAAATGATATCAACAACACCATTTTTGGGATTGTGCTTCAAGTTTGACTTTTATCATGAAAGGCAACTGGTCACTTTTGTTTTCGAACGTCTCAAAACAACATTAACGAAATTTCCTACTTTTCCTGTACTGCCTCTGAAACGTTCCCCTCGATGACACCTCAACGCTTTTCCTCCTTTGTCTAAATGTTTCGAGATGGTCAATTGGAAACCCCATATCATAGCAATATTTTTTGCACATTCAATAGCTACATCACAACTATAAAATAGGTCATCTGTAGTGAAACAACATCCGTAATCAAGACAGGTCTCCTCCAAAATCTTCGACTGAACCCTGCAATATATTAAAATACATGTTAATAATTTTACAAAACAATCAATTTTAACTTCTAATATAGTAATAGTAAATTGTAATTTTTTAAATAATCTGACATAATACTAATAAATTTATAACTTATAACATAATATCAATAAATTTTATTTTATAAGATAATCCATTCTAATCTATAACTTAATAATTTATACTAATATAATTTTTCTATTATTAATTTTATACTATTATTTGATAATAATTATCCTAAATACTAATATAAGTTTTTATATAATAATATATACTAATTTAATAGTTAGTATAATTATTAGTATAATTGTACAAAACAATAAATTTTTACGTATATATATTAATAATTATATATTTTAATTTAAGCATTTTTAATTAAAAAAAAAGGCAACAAAAAAAAAAATCGGCTGCGCACGGCCGGAGCTGAAAAAACGGCCACGTATAGCGGCCAGCGGCCTGGTTGGGACCAGCCGCAACCAAAAATTGCAGCCAAACGTTCGGCAGCCGTCCCAACCATACGCGCCGCAATCGTCGGTCGGCTGGCTCCAGTCCGGCCGGTTTGATCGGTCGGCCGTCGCATGGCCGGTTTTGTTGGAAAGTATTTTTTCGTCTGAATTATTCGGAGGTGTTATCAGAATTTTTTGGGGCTCGGTTCGGCCGATAAATAGGTTGGAAGGTGGGACATTCTATTTTTTCATAAAAATAAGAGTGAAGGGAAAAATTG